ATCTCTAAGGGAGAGCCCAGCCACCCTGCGGAGGAAACCCATTTCGGCCGCTTGTATCCGGGACGTCATGACCCAAAGCTCATGACCATAGATGAGGGTAGGAACGTAGATCGACCGGTAAATCGAGAGCTTCGCTTTCTGACTCAGCTCTCTCTTCGCCACGACGGACCGGTACAGCGCCCGCTTTACAGCAGACTTGAAATCATTTTTACAAATTCACAAATGTTCAAGGATTTCAAGGACCCGTGGGAACCCTGTATTTACTCTAACTTTTTATATAGAAAAAAATAGATTTGCTCAAACAATTCATTTTGATTTTCATTAGTAGAAAAGTGTCAGAATAATTTGTAGTTACCTCAGGTATTCTCCACTGTAACCATGTCAAGCTGATGCACTGCAAATGGAAATAAGCAATTGTTTTTGGTTTTATTTTGAAAGTGATGTCATTTTTATTAGATGTGATGAAACAGAAAAAAAATGCAGACGTGGACCTTGAAGGCTGGGAATGAGCATCTTTGTTTTTAAACAAAACTAGGTTGACTCTAAAAGTACTTGAATTACACCAACTTAAAAAAAAACTAAATGATACATATTAACTACATGATAAAATAATGTTGAATAGAGGCCTCCATACATGCTGATTCACCAAATGCAATGCTAGTGGGGTTTTGTTATTATCTTTTAAAAAAAATCTAAAATGTGACAATTGCAGTAATGTTTTGGTTCACTTCAGTGTCACACTAAAAAGGCAGTCTTGGGGTTCAAAGACTTTATTGAAAATTTACACATACACGTAAGGGATTTCAAGACCATTTCTTGGATCAATCTCCACCTGGAACAAGGAAGCAGCTCCTGAGTGCAACTCAAAGTTACACGTCCTTCAAATAATTATAGTTTGGCATGATTTGTTACTATGTTTCCTCCCAGTTGTTTACCTGAATTTCCCAGGCTGGCCAATCGTGCAGTTTTCTTTTACTTTACAGAATAACTTCAAGCAACTCAAAAAGCTATCAAGTTCAAGGAAAAGTGCATCGCTTTGCAAATCAAGTCACATCCTTAACAGTTGACGAAACATAACCTCAGCGTGTCCTCGTGTGCAGGGGCAGGAAAGATGCAGAAGCTTAGTGTAATTCAGAAGGTTTGAAAATGAGACCTGTTGGTTGGGATTATCATGGGATCATAAATGTAAAAACCAGAAAGTATGACAACCCTCAGGAAACATGAGGTTTTTCTTCTCACATTATGAGTAAATAATAATAATAACAATAATAATAATGAAGTGTCTTGGATTTTCACAATAAAGCCACATGGATTTGGTGACAAAGATGTATTGAATTGAAATTATTATGGCAGTGCTTGACGAAAACAATGGCATGTTTAATAAATACGCCAACAACTGGCTGTTAAAACAGATACAAGGTAAAAAGCAACAAAAGGTAAAATATACCAAAGACAGGAGCACCAGCTTGAAGTGGTACTTTGAGAGTTTGTTGCTGTAACCCTCTGAATCCATTTCCCCATGATTTCCCTTTGCTGGTTTGAGTCGAGCATACTTTTAAGGCCTGATTCTTATTATATTCCCTAGTTCCTTGTAGCATGAGGAAACCTTAGGCTTCCAGTTCTAAGCCCAGACCCAGCTTGTGGCCGCCAGCATTGATGTTCTTTCCATCAACCAGACCGGAGAGGGTGAGTTTCACACCTGCACACATGGGAGGGAGTTGATTGTAGATTTCACACGTAAAAACACAGCAATGTTTAAAAAACACTGGTTCTGAGGCAAGTGAAAATTGAAGTAGACTAGAATTACAGTCTCTTATGTTGCAAAATTAGCTGTAATACTGCTTCAACCTGAAATGTGAAGTGCAGAGATACAGACAGGAAGCTGCTGGTGAGCTACTTACCTGGTCGAAGAGACTGAGTGTATCCAACACCAATAAGACTATTGTTGTTCACTTTAGCCTAAAACAAAAAAGACAAAAAACAAGGAAAGTGTTATTCAGCAGCAGGTGACCATGAATTTTATATTCCATAATATCTCCTGCCTGCTACAGCTTTGTCTAAGGGACAGAACTCACGCTGATGGAGGCGTCCTTGTCCAGTTGGAATTTGGCTGCGATGCCAAAGTTTGTGCTGTTGTTGCCTGCGGTCCATGACAGGTTGACTGCTGTTTCTAACTTATCACTGCATTTTTGGTAGATGGAGCCACCAAACTCAGATCCATTATTGCTGTAAAGTTCAGAAAACAGGTAAGACTTAAGGCTACTAGAAATGTGATATTCATTAAAATATACTCGGAATGTTTCTTGCCATTAACTCACACAATATAAACACATTTTTTACTTTTGTGTTCTTATGGTGCGTTCACACCAAATGCGATTTCAGCATCAGGAGCATCAGGTTTACATGCAAAGTCTATGGTGGACGCGCTTCAAGCAGCGTCGGGAAGGGCTGCGGCGCCTCAAGCGCGATTAGAGCAGCGTGATTTGAACGATCTGAGCATTCGACGTGCTTGATGCGCAAATCGCTGAAGTTAGAAAATCGGAACTTTTGCAGCTCGACGCGCCGCGTCAACCAATCAGAGAGACTCCACTGTGTGACGTAGCGACGTATTTCCCGACAGGACAGTTTACTGAATGATGTCCACTAACCTGAAACAGATGGAGAGGAGCTCTTTAGCTGAAATCGAGTGCCTGCAGTCGGTGTCTTAACAGGAGATATCCGTACCAATGCGTGGCAGCGGCTCATCAGACTGGACTTGGGACAAAAATAGTCCTGAAAGCGAGCTGTGAGCCTCTACTCTGAATTATCTGGTGAATTAATTATGAATTAATTATCTGATAAATGTGACATGCTCTTGCTCTCTGTAAATAAAGCAAAGCCACTTCCTCGTCCGACATTAAACAGAGCCCGACAGAGGAGGGAGGGGTGGGGAGGCTCTTGCCGTACGAGCGCTTCAAGAGCTGATCTGCGTCTGACCTTAAAGTGCACAAGTGACCAACTTGAAGCGTTGGCTGCGATTTTGAAGCTGAAAATGCGTTCGGTGTGAACGCAGCATTAGTTCTGGCACAGTCTTTACATTGTTTCATAGTCTTGGTCACCATAAACAAAATGAAACTTGGTTTCAGTTAACTTCTTTTTTTAATGTCACTTTCGTTCACCAACATTGTCCCAAAGTCTTATTAGTGAAAATACAAAAAAAAAAAAAAAACCACACACAAAAATCCAATTTGCATGCAGAACCCTCTCTACTTACACATTGGTAAGAAGATGGAAGTCTCCTGTCCTGTAACCAATGGCAAAGTTGTTCTGGATCATTCTGGATTTGGCCGTGTCGAAGCTCATCTGGTAACCAGCGAGCCATCCCTCATAGCCGACAACACCGGCTCCGTGAATTGTTGGACCCGCAAAGTCAAAGTCAACGTCGCAGCCCACGTTAATGTACTCACGCTTGTAAGCGGTCTTGACTTTGCCGCTCTTCTTGCTGTAAATGACAAAGAAATTGTTTCAAAAACTAAAAAAAAGGGAAACTGTGTTAAGTTTAGGGATGTAACAATAATAAGTGATTAGAACTGAAAATGTGAATTGATTCATAAAAACTAATGAATCGATTTAATTGTTTTTGTAGAATAATAAGTCATGTCTTTAAAGACAAATCAGCTTGATCTTAAACTTCTGGTCACAAAACGATTTGTGATAAAATTTTTATTTATTTTGAAATTATATTCTGCTGCCAAGAAAACAGTTAGTTTGATATAAGGACAAAAATGCTGATGATTAAAAAATGGTTATAAGAGGGCTACAAAATAATCAAATAATTATAATTATGAACCTAAAGTCAAAAATCAAACCGAATCAGGGCTTGAGTGAATCATTACATCCCTAGTTAAGTTTGATTTGAAACTAACGGGTTTCAGTTTTCTGCAGTAATTAATGTAACAAACTTTTAGTTTATCTAATTTAATTATGCCAAAAATGCCTAAACTCCTTAGAAGAAAAGAAAATCTGTGTTTTTCAACTTATTATTTCAATACACAAATGAGGAAAAAACAGGCGCAACCACAGTAAAGTGTTGCAACACACTAGTTATATAGAAGGACTTGTGTCACATGGCTGCCAAGGACACTTGTCAGAAACATGTGCAGGAAAAGATCAGGTTACCGTAATTACATATGGTGAAAAAGGCAACAGACAGTACACCCCAACTCTGTTAAGACCTGAAGCTAAATCCACATTTTAACCATCATCTTACCCAGTGTTAGGTGAGAAGGTTGTGTCAAATGTCAGCTTCAGTCCCTTTGCGATCTGTACAAAGCAACAGAAACCATTTTAAGTTAAAGGAAACAAAAGCTGCCACTTCTAGTTGAAAATCTCGACTATCATTCACTGCTACATAAAAACGTTACCTGATCTTCAACAGTGATTTCAGTTCCCAAGGTGTTGTCTGTATTCCACTTCTCAGTGAAGGTCAGACCGTATTCAGGCCTCTTGTATTTGGTTTCCAAGCTGCCGCTAACTTTGCTGGTATCAGTGTTGGAGGAACCAGATGTTTTGAATTCCTGAAAGGGGCCGTTATAGAGGGTAGGTGATCAGAAGGAAAGCATAACCAAGAACAAAAGTTAGACTCAACTGCCACAAAACTAACTTATTTATTTATTTGACCTTTATTTAGCCAGGCAACTTCCAAATGAGATCACAGATCTCTTTTGCAAGAGGCCTGAAAGAAACCTATTGTACATGTTTTTGGTCTGTGGGAGGAAACCAGAGTACCAGGAGAAAACCCAAGTTCAAGTTCAAGAATCTTTATTATCCCCGAGGGACAATTTGTTGTACAGCCAATAGACATAAAAACAACTAAACAAAAACATTCATACACAAAAATCACAGATGCTCGTTAGGAAATCTACCTGCTGCTGGGATAAATGAGTTTTTAAATCTGCTAGAGGAGAACATTCAAACTCTGCACAGAAAGTCCCTGGGACTAAACCAGGGATCGAACCCAGGACCTTCTTGCTGTGAAGCATCAGTGCTAACCGCTGCCACATCTGAAAACCTGTTAATGCAACTAATCTTTTAGAAAACACAACATTCAATAAAGCTAAAACAAGCTTAATACTAGGGTGGAAATTCTAATTACTAAACGACTCTTTTGGAGGAGTCATAATTTTTCAAAAAAAAAGATTTATTAAACATAGTGCTGGGCGGTATACAGTTTTGTACCGAATACCGTTTTTTATTTTTGTTATATGAATTTTTTGAATACCGGACATTCCGGTTTAAACAGCGGAACGTTTCGTCGCAGCCGCCAGAGAACTGTTGTTTCCCGGGGGACATTTTTCCTTGCAGCACCGCTATGTGCGTTAGCATGCTAATGTTTGGAGCAGCTAGTTGCAGCTGCGGGTGGCGATTCTGCTACTTATATTGACTGATGTTTAAAAAAAAACATCATTTTCACCGTCGCTGAATGTAGTAAACACCTCTTCAGTGACGTGCACAGTTAGATTTAACGCGGTTAGTTAATATGGAGACGTTATGCTGATGGAGACTTAACGTGGTTCTATTGTGAAAAGCCTGCAGGAAGTAGTTCATAGTGGAGTTGGAATTGTGCAAGGTGAGTCGTGCTGATAAGCTTTAATAAATAACATAAAACAATAAACCCGATAATAATCTTTTCTTAACCC